GAATATTATGCTAAGTGAAATAAGGCAGTCAGAGAAAGACAATCATCATATAATCTCACTTGTATGTGGAATTTAATGAACAAAATTAAGTGATGAACTAAATAGATCCAGAGGCATGGAAGCATGAAACAGACTGATGAATCTCAGAGGGAAGAGGGGAGGAGAGCCAGAAGAGATTAGCCAAAGAACTTATATGCATATATGCATTGCCCATGGTTACAGACAATAGTACAGTGAAGGCCTGGGGTGGGGAGGTAACGGGGTGGATGGGGTCAGTGGGAGAAAAATGGGGGGACATCTCTAATACTCTCAACAATAAAGATAAAAAAATAAAAAACTGCCCGGCCGGGCCTGGCTCATCGGTTGAGCTTTGACCTAGGATCCAGGTGATTGGAGTTTGATTCCCAGTCAGGGCACATGCCCGGGTTGCAGTCGGGGGCGTGCAGGGGGCGGCGATCAATGACTCTCTCATCATTGATGTTTCTATCTCTCTCTCTCTCCCTCTCCCTTCCTCTCTCTGAAATCAATAAAGATATATATATTTTTTAAACCTGTCAATATTTATCAAAACAATAAATCATTTTTTAAAAATAAAATTTTAATTTTAAAGAAATAAATTTTATTAAAAACATTTAGCTGTCATTATGATCTCTTTCAGATCATTTATTTTAAAATGGTATATAAGCCATATTCCAACACTGTGGCAACATATGCTTATGAGTTTTCCTCTTTGTAAAGTGCAAGTTATTATAATCTGTGATTTACCTGATATGAGGCAAATTAAATGAAATATAAGATACTTTGTGCATTTTTTCATACAGCAAACAGAAACACTTTATTTTCCTGCAGTAGCCCCCCACACAGAGACACCATAGTTTTACACACATGACACATGTCATATCCCCCAGGGATTTTTCCCACCTCCTTCACTCCTAGGTTATTTTCCTTTTAACATATTTCAAATGTAATAACAATCTGGTACCATTTTTATTGTATGATATTTTTAAAGCTAGTATGTGGAGAAAATAAAACTTAAAAAATTGTTTATGGTATAATTGAAAATTACCCTGATCAGAAGAGAGAAGCCATATTATACAGTTCAAAAAACACCGGAGAAAAATAATAGGAGGGAATTTTGACCCTAGTTTGTCAGTATTTGACTTGTACCACTTCTGGCAAACAATACATCTATAAAATTAAAGGATATTTTTAAAAGAAACATGTACAAACTATATGGAAGTAAAGGGTATAACAAAAAATCAATATGAAAATTGAATGTTTTAAAAAATGTTAAGGCTAAACCTAAGGAAAGGTGTCTTAGAGAGTATTTCTCAACTCCTTCGTTCTCCAAATGATGACAGGAGGTACAGAATGTATACTGCTGGTTAATGATAGAGAACTGTTCTGCTGGCATTTTGCCTTTATCCTTCGTGTTTTGCAACTTACATAGATTCTGTAATCTTAAAACAGAAAAAAAGGCTGGTAAAATTCAATATAAATTATATTCAACTTAAAATGACAGCTTTTAGCTGTTTTAAATGAATCTAAGAACCATAAGTTATATCCTAGAGTACTGAAAGGATTTCATGAAATAACTCATGACCTTTAGTAGTAAATCTTTGAGTCAAGATGATTTGGTTGAGGTACTATAGACAGATACAAACTTCACAGAACAAGAGCCTGTTAATGTTGTTCCCTGATACATCCATAGCTTCAAGCACAGTACCTACTGTACATTAATGGCTTGACAGATGTTCCTGACAAAATTCCAAAATCTGTTCTCTGGTAGTTTTTGAAGTTTGTGGACACAGAAAAATAAGCGGTGATCACTAGGAGGCAGCATCTATTCACAAAGACCAATTATGCTCATATCACATAGTTCCCCACTATAGAAAGGATTGAAGATCATGTGACTAAATTTCACATGAATAAGCCTTACAAAAAATATTAATCCTTAGAAACAAGAGAGAGAATAAGAACTAAATACACTGCAATTAAATGAATTTGTAGCTGGTTGAATGAGAACACTATGCTGTTAATAGACCAGTAGCAACCAGCTCTGCCTTGTCAGCATTTTTATTCTGGTCTTACGTGTAAACAGAAATAAAATTTTATCAAATTTTCCCATGATTTACAACTGAGAATAACAGCCCAATTTTTTTAAAAAAAGAGCCCAAAATTTGTACAATAAATTTAAAATTAGTAAATGTAAATTTATAGAATGAGGTATAAAAACTATGTTAAGTTCAGAACAGAGGTATCACTGTCTTTTGAGTTTTCATTTTCCAACTCCATGACCTGAGAGTATGATTGTCATAAAACGATTTAATCTTATTATATATAATACATTACACATATTATACATACTCTGAAATCCTCATGATTGACATACTCATCTCTTATAGAGAGATATGACAGCCAGTGGGACTGTGAAAAACTAAGGTGACAAAGACCCATGTTTGTAACTTTTTCACATTAGCCTATGAATATCTAGAATAGCAGTTTACTGCTATATTCCCAAATCAAATCACACCAAGTTTAAAATGCAGTCTAATTTCATTTTTTTTACAACCCTATAAAACAGGTATTATTATCCCAGTCTTAACGGTAAGGGTACTGATGCATAATTAGGGACCAGTCTAGGCATGTGACAAAAGCTCGCTCTTTTAATAATTCCACCACACCTTCCTTACTTTGCTATTTAGTGAGTTTTCCTGTTTTGCCCTATTCCAGATCTACTGAACCACAATAGTGAGAGTAGGGCACAAGAATGTTTAAATATTTCAGGTAATTATGATAAAAGTGGCCCACAATGAATATATAGGATGCAGCAACATTAGGTTTACAATTTTGAGTGTGCAGTTTACTTTTGTGTTACTTATTATATTTTCCATATGAAATGTAAACCTACTTTTGCACTGCCCTGTATATGAAGCTTTAAGTATTTCTGTCAATCAGGCTTCTGACAGATATGAGAGAGCAGATTTTGATATTATACTTTCTGCAGATAGGCAGTGTTATATAAGGCGTACAAAGTCCTGGTTGAATTAGAGCCCTTTGCAAATGGCCAGTTAGTTGCCCTTTGCAAAAAGCTTTAGTGAAAACACGTTGCCAAGTAAAACTTACTTGATTCATTATTAAGCTGGGTTTAGGTAGTACCTGAGTCACAAAGCACAGAGTGGTTAATTATAAATTAAAGGTGATTTGAGCAACTGTAAGAAACTGATTTCAGAGTAAGTCTCATTGAAGAATATAAAAAACTTGACACTGCATAATAATCACGATACCACTCATAGCTATGGTTCCCTTACAGTGCTCTTGCAAAATGATGTGCAACTTGAACTAGTTATGAGCATAAAAACCGGCCATGTGCACTCAGGAGTAAAGAATTGCATATACATTCATTTATTTCCTCTACCAACCATTAATGAGACAACCAACTCTTATTTGGGAAATGATTTTTCTGACATCAACCAAGAAAATACATCTTTGTAAATAATTTTATATTTCAAAAGAATGCATATTGGAAATTTATTACTCTGAGGGAGGGAGACTATGGACTATGGTTTGTCTATAGACTTATGTGTAATTTGTGTTATATCACGTATGTTGGGAAAACATCTGACTTTGGACTTCATTTGTAGTTAGAATACATTTCCTTAACAAGTTTTGTTTCTGTGAAACAGAGAAGTTATCTCCTATAAAATGTTTTGTGAACCAAAAACTACTGTCTAGTAAGTTTTAATATTAAAAATTACAAACTAAACTGAAAAAAAAATTCATTCTAGACCTCAGAATCTGTAGATTAGACATCATTTCTTTAGCTTATATTGTTTAAGCCAAGGGTCATTAAACTATGGCCTGCTGGCCAAATCCTGTCTGCCAGTTAATTGTAAATGAAGTTTTGTTGGAACACAGCCACACCCATTCACTGATATAATAATTATGTTGCTTTCATGCTTCAAGAATAGCATGAGACCATATGGCCCTGAGTTTAAAATACTTACTACCTGCATATTTACAAAAANGAACACAGCCACACCCATTCACTGATATAATAATTATGTTGCTTTCATGCTTCAAGAATAGCATGAGACCATATGGCCCTGAGTTTAAAATACTTACTACCTGCATATTTACAAAAACAGTTTGCCAACACCTGAACAGTTTCATTAAAAAGAAAAAAGTATTTAAATTTTGTTTGAATTATAAGAATGTAAATATTTTCCCATTTTATTTTCATCAGATACACACTTTGGCCTACACATAAGTTGAAAATTTTTGTGGATTAGCCTGAATATCTAAACACTACTGTTTCTATGGATTCTTTGAAATGTATAATCAACCAATTGTACAAGAAGTTTTAGAAAACAGTCTATTTGTAGATGAGGGACATTATCTACTTAACTGACTCACTGAAATGATCAACCAAAAATAGGCCTGAAATGCTCTGAGAAACCACGTTTACAAGTACTTCCTTTGAAATCAGGTTTATGGACAAAGAGAGTTGTTGACAATAATAGCAAGCATTACTTTGATACAAACTTAAGATTTATTTGCTCCTATTTATAAAGAAACATTTAATACTATTAATTCCACAATTCTTAAAATTAAGAACTAAGATGGCTTTTAATGCTATACGGCATCATTTTTTTCAGGTAATATACAACTTTATTAACACTTTTCCTTTTTTCAGCCGAACACATTTTACCCACACTTCTAAAGTGTTAGGGAGCAACCCCCAGGGCAGTGTGATAAATGGGATGGTTCAGATTACTGCGGAAGACTTACTTTCCTGTGATTTTCCTAAATATCAAGGAAACATATGTATCCTGCACTATTATTGATGGTATTTTATGCTTGTGTTATACAGCACATATATTTCTCTTTTCAACTAGTTTTTCCATAAAGATTAAAATATCAGAAATTTTCTTCTAAATTCTCAAAATAATCATAGATTTTCACATTATAACAAAAAAATAAAACAAAGCTACCAAACCAACGATTTAGACAAAAAATGTTTATTCAAGAAAATGTAAAAATATTTTAATTTACGTATCATATTACAATGAATCAATATGGAGTCAAAATTGTACAATTACACATTCATAAAAATTCAAACCATCATCATCAGAATAATCAGTTTCTGTACAAAGATTTACAGATGTCCAATGTATGTAATTTTTCCTCAGTGTGCTACTGAGTTCAGAGGTTCTGCTCGAATATTCCCTAAATCAAGTGCAGAATCTGTTTCTTCATCAATTTCTCCAATGACTGCACTGCAATTAGTTGAGGAGAAAAAAAATGGGTTAACAATCTCATTTCTGAATAAAATTGAGAGGACAAAGTATAAAAAGAACTACTTAAGGCGAAAATCAAACTTTTCATGAAGTCCCAAAACTAAAGAAAAAATCATTTAAAGGCAATGTTATTACAGCAACTAATATTAAAGGACATATTTCATATAGTATAAACTCGATCGTAAGTCTTTAAAGAAAAAAAGACACAAATACAATAGATATGGTACAAAAACCCAAAATTTCCAATTTTATGATTTCAACTCCAGGGACTGTATTGGGGAGGTCTGGGAAGAGGGGAATCACAAAATCACTACTAAGTAAGAAAATAGCCTGGCCGGGTGTGGCTCAACGGTTGAGCATCGACCTAGGATCCAGGCGATCGGGTTCAATTCCCGGTCAGGGCACATGCCCAGGTTGTGGGCTGCAGCTGATAAATGACTCTCTCACCATTGATGTTTCTATCTCTCTCTCCCTCTCCCTTCCTATCTCTGAAATCAATAAAGATATATTTAAAAATAAAAAAAAAAAAATAAATAAAAGCATCTGTTATTTAAGTAACTTCAATGAACTAAATCCAATGACTAATATAACATTAGTCATTGTCATGATTTCTCAGTNTAAAAAAAATAAAAAAATAAAAGCATCTGTTATTTAAGTAACTTCAATGAACTAAATCCAATGACTAATATAACATTAGTCATTGTCATGATTTCTCAGTTTACTTTAACAAAAAGTAGTTTTTCATATACAAAAATAATAGTACTTATGTATCGAACAAATAATTTTTGATGTGGTTGGCTAGAGTTAAAGAAAGTAAATTTTTACTTGATTCAACACAAACATAACATCTGTAACATCAATTTCACTAATACTGTGCTAGGTAACAAAGCCATGGCTTTCTAGCTGGATATAGTCATTGTTACAATCAGAACAAGAGACATGTATGAAACATTATTCCACTAAAAATTGATTGTTTAAATTTGTTTGGTTTTAATGAGAGTAAATTCTATAAATGAATACTTTCAATACAGAATCTGCCCAATTTTGCTTTAAACGATATAAAGCCTTCAGTTCTCTAATAATGAAAAGTACCGAACTCTGAGAAAATATGTTGCTTTCTCAAAATAAAACAAATCAAAGATCTCAACTATACCCTTAAAAATTTAGTATCAAATCCTTATAAAGACAATGGAGTGCTGGTAAATGTTTTAAAACCAGCTCTCCAAAGAAAAATGTGGAGGCTGGTTTGCAGCATTTACTGAAACCGGAGTGCAAATACTCCCACTATGGCCGATTTCAATCCACCAATAAGATATCAATCAACTGGCTTACAAAACGGAATATGCAATAATCTGCTTTTGTGAGCCAGTACAAGCTGGCTTCAGCACACCACTGGGTCTATAGCAAAGATTTAAATTTTTTAAATAGCAGTTCAAAATAATTTTTTGTTTTCTTTTTTTTAATGTAGGAGAAAGCTTCTTAAAGTCAATTATTATGCAGAGCTGCAATATAAAGAATCAGTGTGTTCTTGTCAAGGGATCAGGGCCCCCACCTCCTTTGCATTCTTCTTCTTTACAGCTCACTTTTTAACTCTGCACCTAAATCATCTCTATAGAATACTTTATAAACCCCTGATTTACATTAAAAATCCAGTAATTTACTCATCCAAAGATGATTTTAAGATAAACAATTCAAATGAACAGCATTCATCTTCTACATCCTACCTGTCCCCCAAATTAATCTGAGATGCTAATGTATCTTTTGCTGCGTCCCAGTTATGTTTTAGATCTATACAGTACTCACTAGAAAACTGATTCAACAATCTTGTAGCTGCTATAACTGCACTTCTAATACAGTAGCTACTAGCCACCTGTGAATATTAACTTATAATTAAATAAAATTTAAAATTCAGTTCTTCAGTCACACCAGCCCACTTTCCAAGTATTCAGCAGTCATACACAGCTAGTCCGTACCTTAGTGGATAATGCAGATACAAGCCTTTCCACTACCCCCAAAAGGTCTACTGAACAGTTTTGCTTTACACTGTTGAAGACTTTTCTTAAACTGCCACCACTAAAATATACCTTCTCAAACTGCCCTATCCGTGTGTCACAAATTAACTGAGGCCACAGCATTAACAAAGGACATATTTAGTGTGCCAATTATACTGAAATTAAAAAAAAAAATAAGCAATGGGTAAGTACTTGTTTATAAATTCAGCTCTATTATAGAGCAGGGATCATTTAAAATTGTTCATGCAAAGTATTTCAAAGAAATTTTCAAACCCTAGTTTGGTACTCTAGGAGTATATTTACATTTCTCTGAAATTAGGAGTATTCTGGAAGAACATTCTAAGAAGCCTCTCTAATGAAGTATTCAGTGTAAGGCAACGCCCTTTCTGGACCCTATTGAGGCCATTTAACTATTAGAAATATGGGCAAATCTCTGTAGATAAAAACCTCTTCTCCATACAGCAGGGCAATATACCTACAGTATGTTTAATCTGCCTTAAAAAAGACACATTTTACTTACACATTGTCACCTCTTACGATGTATAACCCTAGTACCACTTGTTCTACGCCCTGTGAAGAGCTGAACACTCGTTCATGGCTTTCATCCAATATCAAATTAATGGTCTGGTCAAAACCTTTCAGTGTTCCCTGTAAAAAGAAAAGTTCAAGAAAAAAAGACAAGTATTCAGGTTTACTTGAATGTGCAAATTTAACCACACAATAATTTTAGATGCTGGGTCCTCCAACAGTAGTACCTGATTTAAATGCAAGTCCACTGTAAAATATAATTCCTCTTTATAATTAACAATATTCTGCCACAAAACTTACCTCTTGGTTTTTTAAGGGGTAAAAACCACACATCTCACTAGTGTGCAGAGTTGTTGAGAGTTACAAAGGACACCTATGTACCAGTGTATTTTCAAGAAAGTAGCAAAAAAGCCCAGGTAGTCCAGTCCAGGAGCTAACATTCTAAAGACACAAACTAAAACAAGTGAAATTTAAGGGAAAACTATACAGGGCTGGGCAAAAGTAGGTTTACAATTGCTCGTATGGAAAAATATATAATACAAGAATAAACTCTGCTTTGCATACTCTATATATGGAGCCATACATACTAGCTATAGCAATGTAGCAGTATCACTTCATGCTACATATTAGTACTAGGGCCTGTGCTAAACACACTGCAAACATTATCTCAATTAATCTTTACCCTTTGAAGTAGATATAATTATTCCCACTTTAGAGAAGAAAAATTGAGGCACAGGGAGGTTAAGTAATCTCTCAAGGTTTCCTAGGTAGAAAGTAGCAGAGCTAGGATATGAACCATGAAAGGATAGCTTCAAACCCAGACAACTGAACTATTATACTACTATGAACAAGCAAATATAATTTACATTTATTTCGAATAAGTCCCATAATGATGTACGAACTGTTATTAATAGCTAACACTTAATGAATGAGTACTTATTATTTGCCAGAAACTGTTCTACGGGCCTCACATGTATTTACTTATTTAATCCTCCTAATAACACAATAAGGTAGATACAAATATGAATGTAACAATTAGAACCAGACCCTGAAGGGAATATTCAGATCAAGTTTTATGGAAGACTCCTGATTTTTTTTTTTTTTTTTTAAGACTCCTGATTTTGAATAAAGGAAGACATGGGCCTAGCACAACACAGTAACTCGGAGACTATTCAAGTTTTTGAAGAAACATCAACTTATATTAGTTTGGTTGTTTAAGTCTCTGAAGCTCCCTATTAAACTATTTCATGTTTTGAAAATCAAGATATATAAAATCAGAATGAAATAAAGAGAAAACAAAATATGGAGTACTGTCTATACTAAACTAATTAGGAAATAGTTATCCCACCCATACTTAGCCTTTTGGCTTCATTTTATACATAACTGTTCTATCAAACGAACCATGCATCAAAGAAATGCAGAACTACTGAACTTAAGTACTCAAAATGCTCTTTTAAATAGCTTTCCTTTTTCTATAAAATTAAAATAATTTTCCAGTTCACTATCTACCCTGTAAAAAAAAAAATAGAAAAATTTAAACTTGATGTTTTTGCAAAATAAAAAAAATATTTGCAAATATGTGTTAATAGCAGTAGGCTTCTCGAAGTATTAAGCTGAGATTAAACTATTTCAAACTGTCCTTGACAAAATATAAGGTGAGATGCCTAAAAGAAAACATGATTGTTTTCTTGGTAAGAAGGAAGCAAGGCAACTGGCCTTAGCTTTGGAGCCAAATCCAATTTAAATCCCAGTTTGGTTCTGCCACTTGATTACAGGTGACTCTGGGAAAGTAGCTCACTTTTTCTGAGCTTGGTGCCTAACCTAAAATACAGGGGTAATTCTTCACCGAGATTAAATGATAATGTAATTTAATAAATGGCAAAGTATAACACTGACTGGTAATAGTCTCTTAAGGAGCTACTGAGAAAAACCACAAGGATTAAACAGAAAACAAGAAACAAAAATAGAACTGCAGAATGGGAAAATAAGAGATTAAATTACGTGAATTAGATAGTTAGAAAATAGGGTGTTTAGCAGCCTTAAAACTTTTTTGAAAGCAAACAGGTATATGAATTCTAAGTGAAGAAATAATTAAGTAGCAAAAAACATGGGACAAATTACTCAGATAACTAAACAGGTCAAGTAGAGAATCCAAGATTTTTCTGGAATTAAAGGGGATACTGTAATAAATGGGCAAATGAGATTAAATAAATTTAGGGTCAATCATCATAATTTGTTATACAACCTAAGAATAGTCAAAGAATATTAACACCATACAAGCTTTAAATGTTGATCATATATATGTAGTACGTTAATCAAAAAAAGATTCTAAGAAGCATATACAAACTTTCAAAAAATTATGATTCATGTAGTGAATATCAGAGCACTGAATTGAAAAGAAAATAAAAAATGGAAGAGAAAGATAAATATGAAATACAGGCAGATATCTGCAGACTAGACTAGCTTAGACACCCTCTGAGGGCAGAATCTATTATTCATCCTAGCTCCTAGAAGCCTTGTAACTTATACTCAAATTTATTAATAAAGAAGAAAATACTACATTCACAACATAAAAAGTTTACAACCAATAAGCCTCCAAGAAAGCAGAGAATGAATATGCCAAATACGTACCACTATCATTCTCCCATCAGAAGTAATAACAGCAACAGTTCCTGATAAATGAATCAAGGAAAGCATTTCTCAAGGAATGCAAACTGAAAACTTAGAACCTGGTAAGGAAGTGGTTTGAATTACTAGGGAAAAGGTGACAGAATTAAGATACAACTATTCAACACAAACACTACATTCACAATATATAAACTTTAAAGTTTCTAACTTCTTCAATTCCTTGTGACAATTACACAATTTGAAAAGGTAAATATAAAAAAAAATCCTTTTCTGTACGTGATCAAGTGTAACCTGTCTCCAAACAGCTGGGTGCCTGGCACTCCTCCTAACTGCGGAGTACTGCCTCCGGCTTTGAGCAAGACATTCCCCCTCTCTGAGACCTGTGTCCTCATCTTTAAAACTAAAATGGGTTAGTGCTAAATTAATGTTGAATGATTTCAAGCGTGTAAGACACTGTCTTCCAGGACTTGGCTACTGGAATTCAGAAGAAAAAAGCTGTAATCAGTGTCACAAGGTATAAAAATGCTTTACAGCAATAAGTCTTCAGTATTTCACTTTCCCCCAAATTTGTATGTGAAAACAATGTAGTGTTTCTGTACCGAGAAACACATGTACAGGGTGCTTTAAGACTCCATAGCGGCTTTTTAGTTATTTGTCTCTTGTGACGATCCACTACAACGGCAAGCATTACTTCCATTCTATCAACAAAGAAGTTGAGCCAAGTGGAAAAGGGGCGGAACAACGAGCAACGCCTAAGAATAAAAACAAGCACGTGGGTTTACTATAATATCGTCAGCGGTAGGACGACTGTTCATTTTATTCCCAAACTTCACCGCACAGGCCCTAGGGTAGTAAGGATGCATTAATAGAGAGCTTCTACAGACAGGGAAAAGTTCAGAATCACGTTTTGAAGGTTAAAATTAAAAGGCGCCTTGGGCCCGCAGGGGCCGCGGCGCGCTCCAGCCCCCGCTGCGGGATTGGCCGGTCCCGCATCCTTAACCCCCGAACCCGGGTCACGCAGTGGCCGGAAGTCCCAACCGCCCGCCGATCCGACCCCGGCCTCTTCTGCCCCAGCCCTCTCCAGTGGAGCGTAGGCCTCACCACGGCTCCGGCCAGCGCCGGCGGCGGCCACCAGAGGATACGGTTGATGTAGTTCTCCAGAGCTGAAGTCATGTTGTTCGGCTGACCGCTCCCAGCAACACAGCAGCGTAGGCGACGACAGGAGCTAGACAAGACCACCGGCAGCGCCCGGCAAATATCGCGAGAGTTCCCACACCGTAGCCTCCGCGAGTCAGAGATCGGGGGGTATATCGGCCCACCTTACCCATAAGGCCTAGCGGCGACGAGCTTAATGCGCGTGCGCAGTGTTTTTTCGGCTGATTTTCCGGGTTGTGATCTCGGAAACCTAGAGCGGCGAAAGCGAGCAAAGGAAAATAGGGTAGGAGGGGAAAATGGGAGAGCAAGTTTCCTAGCGGAATGAAAGGCAGTGGGCAGAAGTTACTAGGGGAAAGTGCAGAGGAAAGACAAGGAAAACGGAATAAGGTGTTTTCATCACAAGTGAAGCAGAATTAAATGAGTGCTGTTCTATGAAATGTAGGCGCGGGGAGGTGGAATCCCGTTTTCCACCACAGGAGCGGTAATTAATCTTTTAGAAGCTGAATGACCTGAGACTTAGTTAACTGCCTGTAAAAGTGCTCCAACTTGGCGACGTTTTTTATTCACTTATTTAAGAAATTGAGTACAAACTGGAAAGGATGTGCGGGCCTCCCTTAGGCAGGCACTATTTCCTCTTTTTACAAAATCTCCGATTTCAGTTAGACTTGGGATTCCTTAGCTGAAGAATTGTGGGTTTGAAATAACTTGCAATGTCAGCAGTTTTCGTCTGAAAAGTGAAGCGTCTGTTTTCATTACAGCATTCCCACAAACTTATCTACTGACCACTCCCAAATGGTTATTTTATATACTAAAATTTACTCTGACCTGTTTGAAACCACATATAATATGTATAGTACATATAATACAGAGAACACACTCATAACAGTTGCAGCAAGAGCAAGTTCACAAAGGAACAATGCCATTGATGCTACTGGTGGCATCCAGGGACATGGGCTTGCCAGCAGTTTGGGGGCCTCCGAGCTTCACTCTTATTGTTTAGCCATAGTGTCCACAGGGACCCAGCTTTGCAATGTGTCTGGGACATGCTGCATGGCCAACTTCTGCATCTGGTTCTCCAGCCTCTCTCACAATGTGAGATATTCAGTATCCTTTAATTTATTATTCCTTTTTTGCTTAAATCAGCTCAAGTTTGTGGCTTCAAGCTGGCAACTAAGAATTTTGGCTTAAAAATATTCTGGTAGTGTGAGCTACAGTGATCTTAAAACATTTTCTTGCTCATTTAGCTTGTAAATTTTTAAAACTAAAAATAGTTTTAACTAAACCTTCTTTATACAAGCTTACTTTAAAATTCTAAATTTTTGTGTCATGTTTACTAATTACAAGGAATGTAATTTCTGTCACATAGTGTTTATGTGCTTTAAATAGATTTTCATTAAAACCTTGGAGCTACAGATTTAACACAAATTTATGGCAAAACCCATACCCATTATCAAACCCATTAGCTGATTTAATTTTTTTCTTAAAAAAAATTTTTTTTTTATTGTTGACAGTATTACAGATGTCTCCCATTTTCTCCCTTTTGCCCCCTCCACCCAACCCCCTTGCCACCCCAGGCTTTCCCTATGCTATTGTCTGTTTCCATGGATTATGCATATATGTTCTTTGGTTAATCTCTCCTCCACTTCTCCCCTCTCCCCGCCAATTGAGATCTGTACCTCTGGACCTATTTTGTTTGTGGGTTTATTTTGTACTGTTTGTTTATTTTGTTAATCCTCACCTGAGGATATTTTTTCCATTGATTTCTTAGAGAGGAGGGAGGGAGGGAGGAAGGGGGGAGAGAGAGAGAGGTAGGTGTAGATGTGAGAGAAACACATCGATTCCTAGCCTCCCGAACATGCCNTGAAGGGGGGAGAGAGAGAGAGAGGTAGGTGTAGATGTGAGAGAAACACATCGATTCCTAGCCTCCCGAACATGCCCCAACTGGACCAGGATCGAATCTGTAACCTAGGTACTTGCCCTTAACTGGGTATTGAACCTGAGATCCTTCCGTGCTTGGGCCTACTCTCCAACCACTGAGCCAAACCAGCCAGGGCTATTTTGTCCTTTAGATTCTGCTTATAAGTGAGATCATGTGATAATTGCCTTTCTCTAACTGGCTTATTTTGCTTAGCATAGTAGTCTCCAGTCCATCCATGCTGCCTCAAAGGGTAAGAGCCTTCTTTTTGACAGTTGCCTATTTGCTGCAGGCTAGAAACGCTAGGGAATTAGCACTCTTAGGAAGCAGTCTTCAGTGACTGACAAGGTAGGTTTATAAATACCTCAGCCCTCTTCAACCTGGTAGGATAATTCAGGTGAGATATCTCCAGCTGTTCAACATAGTAGCTGATTTAATGCACCTCTAATTGGTTACCTTCCTTTCCTTGTAACCCTTCTTCACTGCCTTACTGGTTTTACCTAAATAAACTACTTGCACTTGAATTCTTGCCCCAGAGTCTGTTTTCAGAGGAGACCCCCCCCCAAACTAAGATAGAGATCATGAATAGTTCCTTTCAAAGGGATCTGTATCTTACTTAAGTTGGAAGGTATCCGTAGCCTAACCCCAATTCTTGTCATCATCTGATATCACCAGATCATCTTTTACATCATGCAAAGGAGGATATGAGGTTGCTGCCCCTCTCCACAGATCTATACAGACCTCTTTAAATATCCGTAGGTAAACAATCACTGCTACCACCAAAGTTGATTTAAAATGGGTTGTTTACTCAAAAATAAAATACCTGTCTATGGTAGAACATAGCCAGGCTGCTGCACTAAAACTTCAGTTAGGCTCAGTGATGTAGCAATAAATGAAGCACAGAAATGACTCAGCTATCTGACAAAAACACAGCAAGAATTTATTTAATGGTGTTAGTGTAAACTACGGGATGACCCTCCTTAAGTCTGAAATGGCATCAATAGCAAAGAGTGAGCCCACAGGGGTGGGTGCAGAGTGGAGGGGATCAATGGGGAGAAAAGGGGATATCTGTAATGTTTTGAACAATTTAAAAAAAAAAAAAGGGTGAACCCACAGTTCAGAGCTGTTCTGACCTGCTGATTCCTCTCTCTAGGACGATGAGATCGCCCAGCTCTGGGTGTGCCTCCTAGTTATTTCAGCCACTAGTCTATATCCTAATCTCATGTATATGCTTTGACCCACTCGCTTACTGGTTCAAAAGCAAGCCAAAGTGAAAGCACCATTAGGTGAGCCTGAGTTGCCATTCTGACCCCAAACACTGACCAGCCTGTGTCTGCCCATAAGTAGATGCCACCAATAAATCTATGCATCCCCCTAAACATATTGGATTCTTCAGGTAAACATTTGACAAATTTCAACTCTCCTTCCTCCCCAACACCACAGTGATCTAGTTGTGGCATTCAGAATCCTTAGTGATTTTGGTGGTGGAGATGAAGGTTTTAAGCTACACATACCTCTTTCCTGGAGTAACTGGACATGGTGTGGTGAACCTGCAAAGGACTCAAAGCTTACAGAGTAAGTCACTCATATTGGCATTTCCAATATTAGTGGCAGTCAAATACTCAAGCAAAATGCTTTTCCAGTCTTCCTTAAATCATGTTGGGATGGTAATGGGTTAATCCACCTTTTTGTGAGACTGTCCCTATCATATTGCCCCTCTGAGTCCTGGGATTTCTTTGTAAACCTTTCTTTTTAGAAGACTGTCTTAAGACAGAGTTTCCAGAAGCACACTGTGAAGCAAGGATTTATTTATATGTCTGTGATTTATTATGGAAGTGTTCCCAAGACAAATCAGTAAGGAATTGAGGGCAGCAGGAGGGGAAGAGGGGAGGAAACAAAGCACATTGCATTTGCAGACTAAACCTTACCCAGGCTCACCCCAACAGGGGAATGCTATGTGTGAGTTGATGCTGCACCTGAGGCAAGGGACCTGGGCTTCTATAACCCCTACCTTGCCAATCCTTAGGAAGGGCTGCCAGGAGTAGAGGATGCAAACTTCTAGCTCTCTCCGAATGAGGCCGAAGCCCAAGTAGCCTAAGGTTGGCAATATTCTGGAAAAGAGTAGCAGATCCTGGCCTCAGGAAGCAAAAACACATGAAGCCAGGAGGGGGGTTCACAGAAACCATGAAGACAGTCTTAGGGTGTCTAGGTAAAGCACTGACAGTGTTCACTTAAGTGAATGATTCAGTTTCTAGTCATTTTAAGTTTTGGGGATATTTGAAGTGAGAAAATGTTAGGAGGGTCAGAAGATAATCCCAATTTTGTAAAAGATATTTTAAAAGTATGTTTCTACTTCTTGTCAACAAGGTGTACAGCTCCAAAAAACACTCATTTATAATTAATGCAATTCTTTTGTTACATGGGCAGGGATGAAAGGACCTGTAGATGCTATTCACTATACAGAAGAAATTTTTTGTGACAGTAGCAAATCCTTATTTGTCTGAAACATTTTTTGGGATACTTTATTGTTGAACCATTCTTTATTAGATATGTAATCCAAGTTTGCCTAGGAGTTGTCATAGTTTGAGGGCACAAAGGAAGTTATAATAATAACTCAGATTTCTCAGAGTCATGCTTAATGTGCCTCATGCAGGATTTCTATCGCCCATTTAAAGTCATTTCTGAGAGTCCACCTGGAGTGTCTCACAATAACTCACCAAAACTCTTTTCATTTCTTCTATTCCAGATTTCATTAATGGTCATGCAGTCTTGAGAATTCTCTTCAGGGTGGTCCTTTCTAATATCTCTGGGGGAACAGGGAAGTGAGAGAGCAGGAGACTGTCTCCCAAAACTTCCAGAGCCTTAGGCTGTCAAGTTTGCCCAAATGGTAGTCTATTCTCAATATCTTTTCTTAGCTGAAGTTATACTGTTTTTAGATCTTAAATGATGAGGCTTCCTTCTTGTCTCTATATCACAGCTTGTTATTGGGTTCTGAAGAAGGGCTACATGTATATCCAGATCTCTGAGAATCCTTGTGAAAACAACTCTTGCTTCTGTGTGTAGCTGGCCCCTTGTACTGAGTTTAGATACAAGACCATGGAAAAGGGTGAAGAAAAAGATTCTCTTCATAGTCTCCTTCTACTCCATGCAAATGAACTCATGCAAATAGATGATTGTAAACATCCCAGTTTGACCTGAATT